AAAGAGTGATGGGGAAAAATGATGACTCTGCTGATGGGTTGGATTGATGTAAATGACCCAATAATGAAGTTTTTCAGAGCTCAGTGTGTTCGACTATCCTGTGTCCAAATTGGAAACATTTTGATATTTTGATGTAGTTAAAAGAATAGCTTTGTATCATTTTACGTACTCAGTTAAATGTGTCCACAAAATAATAGCATAGACAAATGTCTTCTGGATTGAGGTGGAGAAATATGATACAAAAGCATTGCTGAATAATCTCATGTAATCTAATTTTAAGGGAAAAGTGGAAATGTTCCTGAAGATGCTCTGATCTTTGTGGAGTTGGCTGAGCTTGTAACTTTGTGTTTTCACTATTACGTTTTTATGTTGATTGGACATGAAACCCTATCTGTAATATTCATACAATTTGAACAGTGCTTCCTGCACTTTGGCCTAGTATTTTTGCCTCTACCACCTTTGATTACACCGCAGAGGGATGACCCTGATTGACAATAGTGCAAAGTCCAAGTGGTCAGCACAAACCCCCAGTGAGCCCAGTGTCAGGTAACGCTTTGCACTGAAGTGGGTAATAGTGCTGAGTCAGATCTGCTGTGGGAGGCAGAAGCAAATCAGAGGTGAAGTACCTAATCAGTGTTAGTCATTGTAAACTGAAAGTGTATCCACATTATAAAGCAATTCTTTATGCTTCTGCAAGTCTATATACAGGCCCTGCAGCTACAGTGCAATGGATGAAGTAAAGCCTGGAGCTGAGAATCCTGTGCAGAAAATGCTTTGTTATCCTACTTCCTCTTTTTTTTTTTTTTTTTTTTTTTTTTAAGTAGAAGTGAAAAGACTTAATATCTTAAATGCCAGGGCAGAATATTTAGAGGGAAGTGATCTTTACAGTTACAAAAAATAGATTCCATGGTAGATTGTATTCACATTTATGTATTAAAAAACTCAGGCTGAACTGTCCTTTGGTATAAATTGGGAAGTTACACACATTATGGCTCATAAGACTTATGTTTCTCTCCTGAACACATGAACAGCCACATTCATGTTTTCTCCAATATGGTTACTGGTTATAGTTCTGCTTACCATGATAATGGTCATGTAGTGTGTATGGTCCTTGTTCACCCTGTTACCTGAGAGCTCAATCCTATGTGGAAACTGTTATAGCAAGAGCGTAGACTTGTTTTGTAGCAAAGGTAACTGCTAACAGACAGTGAGGATTATGAAAAATTAAAGATTCGTAATACAATAAAAATTAATAAGTTGAAAATTTACATAAATGTTGTTCCATATATACATTTTTGTTCAATTACCCTGTTAATTGAAGGAGGAAACTGCTTAACATGCAGTGTAACCTTTGAAAAATTTAACCAGCAGCCCAGCTTCCACATCTCTAGCTTATAGAGCCAAACGGCTTTGTATACAGTTCTGAGGAGAAGCTTTTCAGGTTTCATAGTCTGACCAAAAATGTTTTTGAAAGCAAACTATGAAAAGCAAACTGCTACTTCAGAAAGAAATTCCTTTAAAATCAAGTGTCTCAGGGTGAGTATTTCATTGAGTCTGTTCAGTGAAGCTTTGGAAGTACCATGAAAAGCCCATAAATGGATTTGCTGTATTTGTTTGCCCTCTACATTTGTTTCCAAAGAACTGGTCAGATACACAGTGCCATTGCTGCTTTACTTCATGCTAAATAAATTCTGAATGTAAAGCTCAGCTGTATAAACTAGCTTTTAACTAGTTTATTTTGTGAGCTTTGCTAGTCCTGGAAAATGATAGAAGAGTAATTAATTTCAGTTTTCTTGCTAGGCAAACTTTTCTTTTTGTCTTGTGCACCAGTACAAAGTCGTGATGCTTAAGCTGCTGACTTGGCAGGAGAATATTTAAATCCAAATTAATTGTTCCAGTAGAATGAAACCAAGCTGTTAAGTATTTCAGTGCCTCCTAGACAGATGTGAAATTGGGCAACTAGTAAACACTGCATGTGTGTATTTACAAGAATTTTCCATAAGACTTTAAATTGTGCACTCCTCAGAAGAGGGATCTTGTATGTGTCTTTGAGTGGGTTGAAGATAGTACTTTGGTATTAGGCCAAACAAGAAGTTTACCCCATTGTAGTGCATTGTTCCTGCAATATGTTTAAAGCTCCATGTAACTATAATGCAAAGAAATGTTACCCATTCTTGAAAGCTTACAATGTATTTTGTGCTGTGTAGTACTTCAGTTCAGAGCCTCAGATTCTGCTTAGACTCAAACAATGATGTCAGAAACTACTTTCGCTGGGAAACTCTACTGTTCTTACCTTCATGTTTTTAGAGGAAAGCTGAAAAAGATGATGAATGTCATTTAGTGATTGAAAAGTCAAGATGTAAACTGAAAACCCCAAGTTTAATTTTATTTATTTTTTTAACAAAATGGCATGACTTAAAGGACCTTAGTTCAGTATATCTGAATTTTTTGGACTGGGTGTTACTGAAGTAGTGGCTTATCATCACCATCAGTAATGGTGATAATAGTATGGAAGAGAAGCACTTGGAAGTGTTTAAAAAAACCCAAAACAAACACAAACAAACCACAAAAAAAAACCCAACCAAAACCAAAAACCCCGCAAAAACAAATCCCTAGCATCTAATATGTGTGTTTTCCTTGTTATCTATGGAAGAATGTTCATCAAACACACAATGTCCCCATTTATGTGGCATTAAGACAGGGAGATGAACTATATATTCTTTGTATTTTGTACTTTGGGAGCAAATTGAGATTGTAGACAAATGCTTCCATCTGTAATCTTTTTCCATCTCAGAGGTACCTCAAGGTGCAGCTATTACACTGTTTTCTCTTCTTTATGGCTTGCAGACAAAATATTTAGAAGTATTTTCCAGTACTTTTCCAGTAATTTTCCATTTGCTTTAGGTACTTATGTCACAAAGAAGTGCAACATAGTTCTGTCAGCAGAATTTACAAAGCTGTATTTTCCAGTAACTTTGCATATCATGACTGAAGTGTAGGCTTCCTTCATCTGCATGCTCTTCCTTTCCAAAATCGTCTGCCTGCTCTTACTTGACTATCAACAAGGTAGAAAGTAGAATGTCGCATGACTGAGTCAGAGCTGAGCTATGTGCCCAGCAAGAACCAAACAAAATTCACTTTTTAGGAGGTCAAAAAGGAAAAAAAAAAAGGAGCAGCTCTTAAAGACTGTGTGCCATGGAAGCCAATTCTAAGAATTTAATGTCTGTATTTCTTATCTGTCAGTCAGGTTTTTCTGAAACTGGCAAATGACTTCAAAAGTAACTTGGTGACAGTGTAATTGCACAGAACCATAGAGTAATGTAGGTTAGGTGAGGCCTCTGGTCTTTAATCCAACCTCCTGTTCAAGGTAGGACTAGCTTCCAAGTTAGCTAAGGTTGCTCAGTGCCTTGTCCAGTCAAATTCTGAGTATGTTCAAGGATGGACATTCCACAATGAGTCTATACAACATATTCATGTGCTTAACCATGCTCATGGTGAGTTTTTTTCCCCATATATCTAGTTGGAATCTGGCTTGTTAAAACTTGTAACCCATTGCCTCTTTTTGTTGTGTACAGAGACCTTGTTTCCTTAAGAATGCTGGCTAAAAAGAAAGTAAACTGACTCCTAGTCAAGAGCTTTAAACACTGGCTTTCTCGCCTTTTTACTTGGTGAAACAAGTTGTAAAAGAAATCCTTTTATAACTGGCCCATCTTCTTAATTCATCAGCTGCACTATAACATTGTCATCTGCTTTGGTGGTCCCATGGAAACTGAGAGAAAGACTAAGACAAGCAGAACCATTGTAGATAATCTTCCTAGAACACATCTATCTTTTCTTACCTTATTTATGAAAGTAATAAATGAAAGGCAGTGTGACAAACAGCAGGCTTCAAGAGGCAGTGACTTCAGCTACTGCTTTGCTTGAAACAGAGAAGACAGACTTTTTTGACGCTGCACTCTGGTAATGTCAAATGAAAGCCTTTAGGAGACTACCTGATGATCTTACCTTGGTGGGCATTCAGATTGTATCACACTTCTATCTTACTTCTTTTAAGGAGTGACTTTTAAGAAAGTTGGTACAAAGCTTCTAAACAAAAGAATTCAGTCTTTAAGTCACCACATGACAATGGTGAGCAGGCTCTAGGAGTTGTTTTGAGACTGTACCTAAAACCCACCAAGTGACTCACAGCTCCTGTAGATTTTGCCAGTGCGTGAAAAACATGAGCTATTGGTTTTTCTATCACATAGATTTTTTGACCTGAGCTGAAAATTGATTTATACTTTGTCTTCTGTTCCTTCCAGTCTGCATCTCGCTGTGCTATAGACTGCAAGAATTTTAAAGTGTTCTGTTTTTAATTATCCAAGGTTGGCCCTGGAACTGCTTCTTGTCCACTGTCCTGGCACATTAAATTCAGGTTTTCTAAAATGGTTAGAAATAATTTTACAGAACCATCTATTTTCCTTCCAAATATGTGTACAACTGAATCATTATATAATCAAGTATAGAATAATAACCCAGAATAATAAGTTTAAAAATAAAGAAGTATATGGTGGGAGCCTGCACCCTGCTAGTCATACCAGGAAATAGTCTTCTATGAACCACTTTAAAGCAATCTTAGTGCTTTTTAATAAAGAATAAACTCCAGCTCGGTAATTTGATATTTAAATAGAGTGATTGACTTTATTGAGAAATTGAAAGGCCATGTGGACAGCTGTATAAAAATATTTGTGGGAGAAAAATGGAATCAGCCTTTATGTTTTATTTTAGAAGTACTTATTTTATTATATTTCATTTCTTTGTACATTCAATCTTGAATGTAGATTCTTTTATGGGAGGCTGTATACATTTCCAAATTGGTATTTGTGTGTATGTCAATCTTATCTCTCTCAACTTTTGAAG